ACACACCAAGGATCAGGACCCCTCAAAGTATATTTTAATATCAGCCTGCTAAAGTCATAACAGTCTCTTGCACTTTTTCAGCATGCCTTATTTTCAAGTAATGCTATTATTTCTAAATGCTTGAACTCTCACAACACGCAGTCTGCATTACTGTTTGTGATTATCATGTTTCTAGTCCAACCTTGATAGAAACTTATCTACAGCAATACATTGGAACAGAGTCAAATATTGTTTAGAATATCATGAGACCTTTTTTTTACCCCCTTCGACATTCAGCTTTTTAACTGGATAGGTCTGTGAGAGACTGAATCTGTGATCCCGAGAAAACAAATCCCTGTTTTTCTAAGTTTCATGTAAATTCATTATGGTTATATGACTCATGGGCTTTACTGGCCTTATTGGTTTATTTACTAAAGTGCCATGAAGCAGTTCATCTTGTTTACTGAGGTCTCTGGTCATTTCTACTATTTAAATAACACTGTTCTTTTAAAATACCTACATGTTTAAAGGATTATTAAATAATGGAATTTTCTATGACATTATATTACTTCAGTTTCATACATCAATCCACTGCAATGCTATGACAGCATCCAATCATGACGACACAGAACACAGCCTTCTCTAGTCTTTTTACAATATACATTAAATATTATGGCAATCTACAGGTACTATCAAAATGCACACAGCAAATGCTAACAATCCTGAAACACCGTGAATGACAGATTTTAGTGTAGATGCACAACTTTAAAGAAGATAAAACAGACACGCAACTTCTAAAGTCAAGATTAAAACTTTTGATCATTAAACACTTCTCTTGATAATCTGGCAATAGTATCAAGCTTTTTTTTTTTTTTTTTTTTTTGCTCCACAGAAGCAGTATGTCAGATCATCAGTTGAAACCACGTAAATATAGCATCACTTGGGAATAGTGGCTAAGCCCTGTCAGGCAAGCAATCCCATAGAGCATTTTCATTCTCCTGTAAAATTTCTCCCTCTCACTTACCTTGGAAACTCTATTACTTTTCTTTCCAAATGTAGTTGCTCATTTTGCATCCCAGGTTTATCTGTCACAAATTACATGTGATCATGTCATTATTTGACAGGGTTGAAATGTCTCAGAAATTCAGCTCTATTCTGGCTTCTCCATAGTATTCTAATACATATAAGGTTGCAAAACCACAGGAAACCCACTCCTGCATTGTTTAAACTGTAGGTGACTTTAATCTGCCACTATAGTTAGGTCTCTTCCACTACAAAAAAAAAAAGCAAAGTAGGTATGATAATATTGTTCTGACATACTCTAAAAATTAATGATGAGCATCAAATAAACAGATTTTAACAGTCTAAGAAAGGCTTTCAAATAAGTTTTGTTGGTTGGTTGATTGTCATCCCCCCCACCCCAAACCATATCTTCTGTAGAATCTTATTGCAATGCAGCACACAGGCTAAGTATTTTCTCAGCCTTTCCACAGTGTCAAGGATCACTTTATTTGAAAACAACAAAGTTCCTTTAAAGAAAATCAAGAACATCAAAGAATATTTAAAATGCACAATTACTTTTCAAAAGTGAACCAGTGCAGATTCCTAGAGAACTCATTTAGCTATTTTCAGTGAAACACACCCAAAATATTCCAATTCAAATTTTTGTGCAGAAGCTTCAAAAAGCATCTTGATTTTACTGAACAAAATGCTTACAAGAAATAAAACTTGCAACAATTTAAATACCACACATGGTGGATCCCCAAGTAGCTTTTACAAATGTTCAGTTGAATAGATTTTAGTCAGAAAAGTTTGTGTGTAGGATGATGCTGCAAAGGAAATGGAATTGATGAAAATTCTTAAGGGTCTATTCCAAGATTCCTGTTTTGGGAAAGCTTAACAAGATTAATTTATGTAAATAATTTATTAATAGGCATTTAGAAAGTACGGATGATCATTATTCTTTTTGTCACACTTTCCAGTCAATATGGGTATAAGAACAATTAGCTATAGCACTTTTGTAATGATTTAGTACAGAAGACTCTCCTTCTGGAAGCCTTCATCAGATTAATAAATTACCTACATCTGTAATATGGCACAAACTACTAGAAATTAGGATAAGTGGATGGAAACTGGAGCTTGTGGCAGGCAGGCAGATACCTTAGGAGAGGCTCCCTGTAAGTTACCTACTCTGTGTAACGAGGCTACAGGTGGCAGAAAAAACATTCCTTGTTTCTGGCTAGCTGAAGTAGTTCCAATAGCAGCTCTTGTGGACCTCAAATATGGCAAATCTGCTTTTGGGTGTCCTCGCACAATCCTGAGGTAAGCATAAAAAGTGATGAGGCAGAACAAGGGAAGTTACCAAATCAGTTAAGTTTCACAAAAAAATGCAATGGTACTAAAGTGCATGATGTTGGCACAAGATGACATTTTTCCCCCTTTAATTTTCTTATGTACTTCCTTCCTAATCTATTTCTGCTTCTTATTATTATTTATTGCAAGGCATAAGCTTTGTTGAAATAAATACTGGAAAAGGGGGGGGGAAAGAAAAAAAAACCAAAAACAAAAGAGAGTTCAAAAACTCAAATATAATGGTTTTGTTTGCTGTCATGCACATGAGCCTTAAAATAGGTTCAATCCATTCCAGAATTCACTGCAGGAGCCTAAACTTGCAGGGTTTTTTTCATCCCAAACTATATATAAATTTGACTCTAGGGAAATTTCTTACACGCAAACGGTAAATTGCATATTCATATGTTCAGAAACTTTTATCCCATCACGCACAAATATTATGCCTGCAGCCCATTAAATCCACTGAAAGTGTCTCGTAGTTCCAGGGTGTGTTTTGGTCTGATGAATAAATAAATCTGCAGTTTCTTTAATCTATGCACTGACACTCACTAAATGTTGAAGCATCTCCACAAGGCTGCATATATTACAAATGTCAGAGTTTCATTTTGACAAAACTTTGCCTACCATTTTCAAATAACTGAACAAAATGATATATTCAAAATCCCGTTCTCTATTTTGCTGATGAGAACTGCTACGCACTTTTCACCAGCTGACAAAGCAGCATATGTCTCAGTCTCTCAATATGTCTTAGAATGAGGGGGAAATGCAAGCCAATTACATACCAAAGCTTACTCGCTGTCTTTTAGCTGAAGCTTCCAGAACACCTAATAGCAGGCATTTTTGGTTTAATTTTATCTTTATTTTCTTTTAAAGTGTGACTCCTGTACCCTCTGACTTTAAAAGCAACAATAAAACCTCTAAGAGTCAAATTAAGAAAGCCGTGAGCTTGCCTGCAATTATTAATGTATTTCTTTGCCTTAAGAGGGTGTCCAAAGGGTGATCATCTCTAGTGACTGACAGGATGTAACGCAACTAGGAGCATTGGATGGTTTGACTGGAGATTTCTCAGGCAGTGGCACTCTCTTCCTTTGCATAAAAGACTCTTTTTGTGAAACAGAATTGCTCGGAGAGACTAAGACTGTGCTTAGTTCCACAAATTGAAAAATAATCATCATAATGAAGTCTCAGAGCCAGCCCATTCCTTGGCACATGCAATCACGTCTGGGATTGCACAACCACTCTTACTTCTGCAAGTGTGAGAATTTTATTTTTCCTTTCTTTCTTTCCATAAATGAAGCCAAAATGAAATGTAATTCCTTTTACCACATGAAGGATTTGATCTTTGCCAATTTGAGTGATTTGATCAACTATAAGTTTGGCACAAATCACATCTGTCACATGGAAGGACAAAATACAGCCACTCAGAAATCAATCTAAAGTAAAGGCAATGGGTTAAGCTTATGAGCATCCTGCAACGATGCTCAGTAATATATCAAAGGTTAAAAAAAGAAAACACACAAACTCATCATGTATCAGCTTATTTGACTTAAGAATTCTAACGTAAGCATCTCAGTTACTCAGGCATGGTGTAATAAGTGAGTAGTAAGAGAAAAATAGTCCATATCATACGAAAAAAAAAAAAAAAAAAAGAAACAGAAAGCAAGGAATCTTACTTTTAGGTGTTAATATAGCATGGTATGACATGCCAGCGAAGTAGCTGGACAGCTGACAAGTAGAACCAAAACCTAGTATTACACATTCACAAAGTGATATAGTCACAGTTAGCACAATCAGCAGTGTGACTGCAGTTTGCAGTTTAAAAGTTTGGACAAATCTTGTAGTGCACCCAACTGCATTGGTATTTTATTTTTCTTGGAGGGCAAATTTACAAGTTCAAAAAAAGTCTTGTTCACAACTCCTTTAACACTTTATCCCTAATGCAGTTGATGACGTTACTCTCCTCTTACAGGTTTCTGTCAAGTGAAACACCTATGGTCACACAATTAGCAGAATCACTTCACGTTCTCAGTCAAAACCAGCTATCAAGTTTTGTGTTTGTTTTTTTTTTTTTTTTTTTTTTTAAAAGTTTAGAGAAATAATTGCTCGTGTTTATAAGTCACAGGACATAACACATGCCCCTTACTTGCCAGTTTGAAGAGAAATTTTGCAATGGAAGTCAATACCAGATGATTTAAGACTAGTTTTCTTCTCTCAAAAGCATCAACACCATATGCTGCAGCCTGTCCCATTAACACACCTGGTTTACAGAAGTTGCTTTCTAGGATTCAGGAAGACTTCAAGTACATCCTTTACTCCTTAAATAACCACTAGGGTCATTTAGTAGCGAAGCATATTGATCAGCTATGTATAAAAACAGAAGGCAATAAAAAAGAGTCCATTAAATCCATGAAGCACTGTGAAGAAAGTTACTCCCTGATTATTAGTATTAGGTAGCTGCATATAAAACAAGATTTTTCTCTGCTGATTACAGATTAGACCAAACTCAATAATAAAGGTCAAACACTGGAGTTATTCTACACTGGCTGAGATCAGATTCTCTCCAGCATAGAAGGTGACTTTGACACATTTCAGCTCCAAACCATTCTTTGCAGCAGGTTCTGCCCAACATTTAAGCACCTCCCCAAGCAATTCACTGAATGAACATTGTGTTCTAGGATGCAATTTATTTAAAAACATTTATTTTAGGCAAAATTAAACAGACATTTGAGATTACATAGAAATACAATTTCCAATTGAATCACATAATCTTTTCATTAAAAATGCACTGCTGTGTTGATTTAAGTAATTTTGTATGGATTGAGCAGGTATGTAATATTTAACCATGCCACTTGCAGTCAACTATCGTAAAAATCAGTAACGAAAAAGGTTTCTTAAAATGTGCAAATATTATCTTAGTGTTACCATTGATAATAAATGACCACTAAATAGATGCTTATTACGTAAAGCTTTTTAAAGTACAATAAAAATACAAATTCTATTTGTTAAAAAAGGCCATTGCTATGGCTACTAAACATCCTCATTATACAAATTGCAAAATACTATATGACAAACAAAATTATAAAGACTTTTCTTTATGAAACATATACTATTCTATTTGTTAGTGATTTTATATATTTTTAATATATATATTTATATATAATACTCTATATGAATGTTGAACACAGAATAAGAGAGAGGAAGACTAATGTAATGTAGAACATTAAGGCCCCCATTCAGCAAGGTACCTGAACATATGTTAAACTCAACAAAGGAATAATCCCATTCATTTCAGTGGATTTCAAGGTATAAGCTGAAGTACTCTGTTGAACAAGGCATAAAGATAAACATGTGATGACAAATTTGTAAAATGCATTTTTGGTGTAAACTATAACTGTTAAGGATAAAACTCTAAGTATCACAAAAAACCTCTCATGAAAAAGCAAAGAAAAAGTATTTTTAAAAGAATCTGAAATTTTGTTTTTTCCACACCTGTATGTTTTGAGGGGAAAATATTAGAGCTTTTCAATTTTTGAATTGAACTAACATAAAGTTTGGGCATCAAAACACTAATGATAATAATTTTCCAAAATAGGTTTAAGATGGTATTTTATTGCTTATGCTAAAGGTTAATGAAGAGTATGCATAGACAGGTCAGCGTTAAACTCACTAACAGCTGAAAGTTTTGGTGTGTAGTTATTTCTGAAACATGAACAATCAGTGGGTATGAAGGACTTACTAACTTATATTGAATTCTTGCAGCAAGCTTCAAAATTATAGTAATACATATAACATTAAAGCAGATAGTGAAAACAATTCTCAACAAAGCCTGACTGAACACTCAGGTGTTGAAAGTAACTTACAGAACTGTGCACAGTAAACAGTGCCTGCTTATACACAAAATTACATAGATTTCTAAGTAAATGTAAGACCATAATCTTCTTTTTAAGTTATGGTTATCATGTAATAAATTCCAAATTACATACTTTACAGTTCAGCTATAAAATATCAAAAAAAGGGCAGTTACTTAGTCCATTCTGCAATTTAGCAGTTTTATTATGCTCTTAAACAGTAATTAGCATACTAAGAATTTGTTTGTTTCTAAAACATGAAGTAAGGACCTAAAATCTTATGTATTTTATAAACTAATAACAACATATATACAGCACAGTAATCATACACAGTAATGGAAATCAATTACATGGCATCCAGATTTGTTTTAAGCATATATTAATGGTTAGTATTTTCTGCTTTTTCACTGCAATTTGAACTTTTTGTACTAGATATTAATTATTTTACTGCTTGAATATTAAATGATGACTTAAGAGCATAATTTCAAAATGCTGCCAGATAAAGTATTACATAAAAATCATGCTTGTGCATCTGCAAACAGAGGTATGTGTGAGCTTTCTGAAGAACTGCTCCAGTCATAAAGCATAATAAGCTTGGGCCAAAATTTGACAGAAAGAAACACAATAGTGTAATTTAATTCATATTTCATAAACAAATACAATTTTTTACATTTGTACAGGGAAAGACTGGAAATGGAAGTTGGATTTTTACAGAAGCAAACCTGACAAGAGTTTACATGTTGAAAAAAGCAATTTTTGGCACATGGATAATATTTGTGAATACGTGTTCAGAATTTTAAAAAACCCAAACCACTGTGAAGGAATTTCACATTTAGCTTCTTGTCATCAGCACCTGCTGTCTAGTGGGTCAAGACAAAATACTGTGCCTTCAAGAGTTAATCCCATTTTGAACCCCTCCTGCAATGAAACAAGACATAGTTATTAAAAAAGAAAGTGATTTCTGGAGGATAAAGGTCTCTTTCTAAAAACACCTAAATTTGAACTTATCTTTAGGCAGATAAACCATAATGATACTTTAGAGTGAATCCATAGACATTTACATTATTTGGTCAGCTGATTTTTAATAAGTCTTAATGGTTAACTTATAAAAGGATGTATCTTGTACAACAAAAGAAATACAGTATGTATTTAAATGAAGAAAATATTATAGAATAAAAAAATATTGAAAATTCATATAGATCGGTTGATAGAAAAGCAAACAAGCTTGACGTGCATCATGTTGTTCCCGAGTTAAACTCAACATGATTTATAAGCAGGAAAGATTAGGGCTATATGAGCAAAAAGTTTATTATATTTACATTTTAACGATTCAGATAAGTCACAGACATTGTTACTAATCCCAGGTGTCTCCTACATTCAGTAATACCTTCTCTTAGAAGTAGTCCAACAATAATTATAGTACTCGACCGCATCTCAGAGGTTTGTTCTGAATTGCTCCCTGTGCAGTTAAATTGACAAGTGCATGTTTTACAGCCTACTGCCATCCGAGCTTCACTAAATAACGCAAATAAAATTATACTAAAAATACTAAAATCACATAAAATTTGTGCAAATGAACAAATGGTGCATTTCAAAGGCATGTAACTCAGTGACATAAAATACAATGATCTTTAGAAAGTGCAACAAATTTCTTTAAAAGTTTAGACCAAAACTCCTGTTTTAGTCACATTAGTTTTATTAGTAGAAACACAAACATGGTCATCACCCCCTCTATTGAAAAGAAATTCATTCCACAAGTACCTGTATTTGTTTTTACAAAATATACTTAGCTTGCACCTGTTCTAAAATAAGAACAGCACTTTTAATACAGGTGAAATGCTCTTGTTTTCATTTCTCTTTTTTCTTTAAAAGAAGCTGAACAATTGAGGCTTAACCTTCAAGAGAAAAGTCACCTTTGAGTCAAGGAAATATCAGTCTGCTAGGTGGAAGTACTGTAAAACTATAAGCAATTGGAAACAAGGGCTCTGAATAGAAATGCCATGAAAACATCAACTCCAGTGGCAGCTGTAACAACGTTCAGTTCAGGGCTGTCCTAATACATAGTTCACTTAGAAAATGTTGATTGCATGCTATGAAATCAATAGTATGTGCTTTCATGAAGCAAATACCTTGTAAATGAATCTTTTTGTAAAGCAATCCGTATTGGGATCAGGCATAAACTCAAAATACACAGCAGTACCTCAAGAGCATGCCTTTTGGCTTTAAAACATAAATCTCAAATCAAACCAGCTTCATTTCAAACAAATTTAAACCACAGGCTAAAATTTTGAGAGCTTATGAGTATTTAATAATCCCACCAGCTACTAGAGTAGTGTTGAGAAATAGAATAAACTTCCTGGCAACTGGTTTAAGAAGGACAACCAGCTTGATTCTTAGCAATGCAATCCAGAGAACCCTTTCACTGACCATGCATCCCAGTCATGCCCTGCATGCTGGTGGCTTTCATTTAAGCACTGTTTGTTGGTGTCTTACGTAGCTGCACTTCCAATACCCTTTTTTCTGGCTAGCTAAGAACAAATCAGATTATACATTTTGGAAGCACACACATATCTCATTGCTCTTCTGTTGATCATGTTGGGGTTTCTAATTTTTGTTTTATTCTATACAAACTGATATTTTGTCACTTACCACTTAGCTTGTGCTTGCTATGATTTTACTTCGAACCATTTCTACTTTCTCAAAGAACAGCAGTCTCCTTGACCTTTCCACCTGCAATCTCACTCCAGACCACTTTGCCCCCCATTTAGTCGTCCTCCTCCTCTTTTAAGCTGTGATATTTTGCATTTAAAACAATCACATTTTCACATATTTGCAATGTGATCAATGTTAATCCATTAAGAGATAGCTGCACTATATGTATCATAATTATTTAAATAGCCTTTTAACTTTCTTAACATAATGAACTACTGTCTGTTCTAAAAGAAAAGAGTAACGTGGTTGCCATGTGCTGTTATCAGCTCCGTACCTGAGAACCCAGCTTCTATTACAGGCAGAACTGTCAGAAGTAAAACCTACCACTACAGTGCCAGGAAATGCAGTGTTAACACATGCATGCTTAAAAAAGGACCATGCATACAGCTGTCTATAACAGGAACATGACATTTCAATGTTCACCTGTTAATCACACAAGAACAGTATCGTCAAGGACCAGATGCTACAGTTAATAGTAAACTGAAACTTCCATGCCAACCCCAGGGTCAAAAAAAGCCCAAGAACACAAAGAGACATCAAGGCAATCTAGATAGCCATCTGGGCATTTTTCAGATTTTAAAAGAATATAAAAAACAGATTTTTTTCTTCATAAATATTTAAGTGGAGGACAAGAAGTGCATAGGAGTATAGACCAAAGAAAACTGTATTGTCTCAACCAATATTCCATTAAATTAAATGCAGGCCTCAAAAAGGAAAAGAAATCACAACTTTCTTGTCTAGTAGACTCTTTGGCAAACTGATGGCAATGAAATTTCCAGAGATTCAGACTCCAGATTTCCTATAGCTATCTCCACTCCTAATCCCTCAGGTTTTGCAAAATAATTCCAAATGCTTAAATAATTTTTGGAATCTCCAAAACTATACTTTTGCAAAGATACAATATAATTTTCAAAAAATCCAATCAGCTGTCAGTAGTCAAGCAAGCCATTGGAAGAGAACGTTTTAAGAAAGGATTCTCCCTTACATCTACAGCTGAAACTGTGATCAATGCAGAAAATAGAATGCTGTAGTTCTCACAGCAATGCAGAACACTTTGATCTTTATGTGCACTTTCAGAAATAGTTTATATATACACCTGAACTGCACATGTCTCTCAAGTCTTATGCTCCTACTTGAAGCTTCTGTATGATTATTAAGGTATCCATCATACAGCACATGCCCACTTTCAACTCTCCACTCCAAAACCCAGCATTTGCAGCTGTAATAACAGTGAAGTCAGTTGGAATGACCAAGCAGATTGTAAATTATGATTTGTTCTTATATTTTTTTTCTCTAATAAACTCAATTAACATGTTAAGGAGAATAGTTTTTCTTTAAAAATGACATATATAGTCAGCACTTGGTACACATTACATACTATATATATTTTAAAAATCTTTCAAAATTTTTAATACACAGCATTTTAAATAGTTTGCCTTGTAAAATTCAGACATTTCAGCTTCTAATAACATGTGTTCTTAACATAACACACTGCCTGTTAAAAAACATGTGTGCTATGGCTTCCTGTACTTTAAACATCCAGGAAACAGTAACTCCTGATGTGGTCAGAAAATTTCTTAAGTGTGCTGATTTTCAGTGAATGAAGAAAAAGGCCATCCCCTGGCACTGGACATGGGTGGGAAGAGGAAGGACTATGAAGTGTGCATCTATATTGTGCCTCACCTCTACGTTCATATCCCCCGTGATGACACTTCCAAGGTGATTGAAACTCTAGGACTGAACATCTTAGTTACCTAGAAAAATGATGGTATTGTACTAAAGGATATGATTGTTCTCTTAAAGAGAGGAGCAAAGCTTGTTTTCACTAGAAAAAGTGACCAACAACCCCTCTTCCAAAACTTCCACGTTTTTTGTGTCTATGATAACAAGATGTGAGCTATTCTGGTTAAAAATAGTAAAAGACACAGAACTCCATTTTATAGGAGACAAATTTGCCAAAGTCAACCTTATGGCTCTGAGGTTAACTCACTTATCGCTTCACAATGACTTCACTCAATGAGCTTAAGTCAGCGCAAGTCCCATGAACCAATGATAAATTTACACGCCTCCGAGAAGATAATTTAGAGGGCTGAGCATAACTTATTTCAGATGGAAAGATGACAAGCCTACCGACTGCTTCAGGCCATGCAGGGAGAATGGCTTGCAGCTCCTGGAAGCTTTATGATATTAACTACCTTGAGAGTTTAATAAATTATAGCAGCTGTTGCTGGTATGATTCATGATCCAGGGAAACTTTCCTTCACTGCAAGATTTCTGGGAAAACAGACAAATTCATTTTATTAATGTCTGGATACCGTCAAAATAGAGAGGATGAAAATATGTTTCAGCATAAGGGTGGGGGGAAACAGGAGGTTGGATAGTCATCAGAGAGAGGCCTGAGCTGTAAAAGTCACATCTCAGCACATGTTTGAGTTTTGAGCTCTCCAAAAATTGACTGGACCAAGAAATGGAATAGAAGGAGCTTAAGTGTGAAATCTGGATCCTAACTAAAGTTTAGGACCTAAAGTTCCCCCAGGGGTCACTGAAATTTATCTGATCTCACTAAGTGCAGAATATCAGATGCAAAGGAAAAGCACCCACTAAAGTGTTTATTTCTCCAAAGCTGCTTCTGCTGCGCCCTCCTATCTCACTTTGCTTACACATCACCTCCCAACGCACGCACAGTAACAGGATCAGAGAGACTGGGCTGAGCTGCTCCCACCAGGCTGTCACTGCCTGGTGCCGAGGCAGCTTGCTTGTTACTGAGTGTAGGATAAACTGCATTTAATACCCTCTCAGAGTAAGTTTGTATTTTGAACTAATAGGATGTGTTCATAAACAACTTACCTTTGTATATTTAATGAAACACATATTTACTGGAACTCGGGCTGTACTTTATAATGTGAAGACAACAGATCCCTTCACTTTACGTTCCAGAGAAGGAAAGACGACTAGATTTTTCTTTTTGTAGCGTCCATTTCACCTTCCTTCTTATAGGCTGTGTATCTAACAACTGTTACCTTCTAGCACAGTTTTATTCTGCTAATTGCAAGTTTTAAATAATTATTATTGTATTCACACAAAAATTTACATATCAAAGGTTTTTGCTTAAAACATTTCACTACTGACAATTTGATAACGAAACTGGCGATTTCACTTGAGCACACGGAAAACAAACAGGAATGAAAATGAAGGCTTAGTATTATTAACATCTGGTAAGATGGACTAAAGAAAATTAAAATCAGCTGTCCCTACCTTAAAAATTGCATGCCCCTAAAAATTAAAATGGCCCTGACTTAGAGGTGCATATATAAAATATAAATCTTAAAACTTTATATATATGTACACACATATACATAAAAATAAAAACACCAGACATGAACACATGCACACTTCAATTGCAAATGCTTTAAATACCATTATTAAAATATGATATACCAACCATCGCTGACGCTAGGCACCAGGGAAAGCACAAGAAGATAAAAGAAGGTATTAGGAAAAACATGTTGTAATCTGTATTTTGCAGCAATCATCTAGTAAAATAACTGTACATAGCTTTTGCTTTGGTCAAAGTTAGAATATTATTTTTGCCCTGTTTCACACCCAGTCAGCTTTACACTTCTCAATTGGATTACACCTGAAGAAGTTTTGTGTCTATATAAAGATCCACTAATTAAATTTCAGTGGAAATATCAGGGTATGCTAAAACTGATATACTAGACTCTCCGATTTCAAGACTTGTTTATAAAGCATACAAAAAAGTTGGAAAAAACAAAATACATGTGTGCAGGGGGAATACCCAACCTATACAATATTCTTTGGAATAGGACACAGTAGTGCCCTAAGGTTTGGGTGGGGTTTTTTATTAGTTGTTTGTCTGTTGCTTTTTTCAAGTGAAGACTACAAACAATGACAGGAGTTTTTAATTTTATGAATTCTTTATGACTTTTGAATTTATGACTTCAAAAATCTTTGATAGAGGTTTCTGCTGTTCCTCTCACTGATGTTTTATGAGGTGATAACACCTTGCAGCCTTCTACATTAGCAATGTAAAATTTAGCCAAAAGTTACCTGTAGTAAGAACTCTTACTGTGTGACATTTATCTATAGTCACAGGATTCTTCCTAGTATCCACAGACACTACAGTATAACTTTTCCTAAAATAGAGTACATAACGGAAACACTGATATATATCAATGCAAAGTGTTAAAAGATTTGCTTTTTGTGCTAAAGGGCTTGGTAACAACATTACAGCATTCGCAAAACACATGCATTTTTAATGGAATTGCAAGGAAACCAATTTTGGCTTTTAGTGTTACTGGAAATTGTGTGGGCTAGAGTACAGGTAAGCAAGAATTGAAATTTCTTACTTCACAGTGAGAGTTTGCCAGTGGCATCATCCTAAACTGACATGGAAAGTGAAATTTCACAATGAAGAGGAATTAAGAGATCTTACTTAGGTAAACCAAATGGTATTTTAATCTTATTTCAGCCATTTTGAAATGTTTCTCCTGCTCTCCAGGCACAAGAGAGGAACTGAAGAAGCCTGAGGACTTTGGACTATTGGACTTTGTGGGTTCTCAAGATATAAGAGGTCTGGAAGCCCTGGATCCTAGAAATTTAAGTTCCCAGTATTTTCATTTTGCTGGCAGCCTTCTGAAAAAAATACAGATAAGCAAGCTGGCAAAGAACTAGTTTGGAAAGTCTGACTGAAGAGAGTGATTTATTCCAAAACTTGAAGGCTTTCTCCTAGAATTGTTGCAAAATTGGGTCAATAACTGAACAGATACTATTGAGTGTTTCAGAATCAACAAATGTTTTCTGATAAAAACACATCAGTTCAGAATTCTTGAACCAATTCTCAATAGTTTAATTGTCCCAGAGTGCTTTAGTCAAATACAGCTATTTTTATAGGTGGCAGAAAATTGGCATGTACTCTGTCTATGCCAATGCTACAAGAAAACAGACTAACACCACTGAGGGAAAGACCAGGGTATAGGGGGATCGTGGAGATTGCTCGAACTGAGGAGCAACAGCATCAGAGTATCTGTAGGGTTCTTGCCTCAGCTCTCTTTTTCAGCTCACTCAGTCCCTTCCCAGGCAAGAGTAGCAGTATCCATTTTGATTACACTAAAACCTAAATTAGTACAGGTGTCGGGATTAATACCGTGGGTTAACATTTGTAAGGATCTTCAGGCAAATTCAAACTCCAGCTCAAAGATGATGACATATACTTACAATAGGAATAGTCAGAAATAGGCTTTTTTTCTATGTATTTGTGTGTGCGGTCTGGAACACATTTTCAGAATACTGTAAATATGTATTTCAAGGATAGTCATACAGCCACAGAAAACTGCCTAATTGATAACTCAATAGTTACCTGCATCTCATCTAGTTTGGACTGAATGTCTGGAGGGAAATCTCCTGCTCCGCAGCTAAAAGGGTCAAAAGGTTCTGCTCCAAAAAGGTCTCTCTCTGGAACAACAGAAAAGTGTGTCATCGAGAGAAAAGGTATGGGCTATGACAATAGGTTTTGAAAAAGTCAGTTTACATTCCTTTACAAGCTGAAAAATAGGACCTCCTGATATGTAACTGATTAACCACAACCACAATCCAAATTTGAAAGCCAGGTCTTGATTCATTTTCCAATGTTTAATACTGAAATATTTTTCCAAGAACACCATCAACTTCTGTTTTAAACCTCTATTTAGATTTCATTAATGCTTGTGACTTCTACAGGAATAATAGGGATCCAGTGAGAAGCTGTTCCAATTTGAACAGGGCAAATTCTACTGAAGTGTGCTCCGGAATCATTATAAGAAGTTTCATAAATGAGGAGGGAATAAGTGGACATCAGTTGTCAAATTTTCACTTAGCATTATGTCAGAAACATATTTTTGCAAGCAAACTAATCTTTATGTCCCCTGTCTGCCACTTCTCACCATCAGGTTAAAGACGTTTTTTTAAGGAAAAGAAACTACTCTTACTCATGCAAGGTAAAGCTCATAGAGTTCCTCAATTTAAAAAAACGGCAGTAACTAAAACTTATTGTCAGGGTTTTAAAATCTTGGATAAGATCAAGTCAAGAAAGTAAGAATGAAAAACGCGTAGGACCATGAATGGTCACTTATCCTAAAATTCCACTAAATCTGGATTCATAAACTGAATGACTGCAAATTTCCCTCTGTCACTACCACACAGTTTCTCACCTTTTCTGAACTGTAGTATGCTTTCTTGTGGTGAGGACTTCTGGGTTTTTGTTTGTTTTTTTTGTTTGTTTGGTTTTTTTTTATGTCTGGACAAGAAGAAACACCTCCAATACATATTTTTTTTTCCGTATTAGAACAGTGTAGTGCCGGTTTTTCACATCTGACAGCCCAAGTATTTCTGGATTGTGGATTTTTGGTTGGTTGGTTTGAGGGTTTTTTCCCTTCTCAGTATTGATTTTTTTTTTTTTTTTCTCTACAGGTAACCATGCCATCTATATAGACTTCCTATACCCCATGGGGTTGAACTAAACCAGTAAGAAAATAATTTTGCTAGCCCCACCATACTGATTTCAAAATTTACAGAAGCAAGTTAATACAGTCTTGTCATTGGTGGAGAGAAAATTAATACTATATCCTTCCTCCTAACTTTCATGGTTCTCCAGCAAGAAACCTGGTAGACATACTACTTACCTTAAAACAATGTTAGCTTCAGAGCACGAAATTAGAAGGGGCCCTTAATCTCTTCAAAATGACTAGCTAGTTTTCTGGTTAAGTGCAAAGTTTCATGCTAAACATCCAAGATACAGAAGTTGACAACTGACTACTTGACACAAAATCCATGTTGCACTGATACCAGTCATCTTATCAATGCTGAAAATCACGTATATAGCTAAAAAAATGTCTTTATTTTGGCCTCCTTGCAGTCAGAGTTTTAGACCTGTACATATCTAGGTTCTTCAACATTATATTGTGCGTGTCAGTCTCCAAGGGTTTTGACCTAATCACTTAGGTGTTATCAGGCTGCACAATACACATTTTCAATAACAAGCTACCAGCATTCATTCCCACAATAAAGTACAGAAACAAGCAGGAACTTGATTAATTACATATTGCAAAAACTGTGTCAAAGCAGCTATAAACTGTCACATGAGACCAGAAGATGGCCCAGACTGGAGAGCCTTATTCCAAAAGCCCACTTTAGCCAAAATAAATAAATAAGGAAATTAATTCTGGTCTTTCCTGGCAAAGACAGATCACCTGCGTGCAAAAGAGACTTTAACTAGGATAATCTAATGTAAAAATTAGGATGTAACTCATGCCTGCCTCTTTCACAGCGAAAATAGCTCTGCTCCAGTATAACCAGTGTACTTACAAGCTCTGATGCTCCTACCATGTAACCTTAAGATATGTAGCAGCTTAGACTTTCAATCTAAACTCTGCTGGGCAAAAAGCGATTATGATTTCATTTTCTTTTTTTTTTTTTTTTTCTTCTCCCCCTCTCCGTAGGTTCTTTTTACCCTTTAAAAGGAGCTGACAATTTGGTCAGACAGCTAAAAGCAGCCAGTTTCAACACCAAGTCTTATCAAACATTCAAGGAATGTATTTAGGAAAAAAACCTAGAGGACACAACTCTTGCATTTTTAACTACTGAAATATGACTTGCCACTATTTTTGAAAGCAAATATTTTGTACATTATTATGGATATTTTCTCATGCATGCCTTATTATTTGGCTTTTTAAATGACAGCACTCATTAGCAGGAGAATGCCAGAAGCTTTAGCTCCTTTAATGTCACCTGCCTTCAGGTGTAGGATTACTTAATTTCTATTGTTATTCAAGGCAGACTTCAAAATTAACAAGGGTAACTTATTTTAAGTGACATAGCCTAATAAATCCTGTAGAGAACCAAGTTCAAACTAGAGAAGTGTTTCCCAGATTACTTTCTCTGAAATACTATTTTGGGAACTGTCTCTTTTATAACTTGCTAACCATTTCAGTACACCAGCTGAAAAAGTCCACAATACAACTCCTTTTCCGCATTTAAAACTTGTGTCTTATATTGGAGATAGCAGCGCTAAGAGTCAAGGAAGGATAAAGTTCCATGAAATACTTTCAATAACATCATCATATTTCTCTTTTGAACACAAACTGAAGAACACATGAAAACTGGATGAATACTAAAATTGAGTCACTGGAGAACGGCACTATTGCATGGGCTCTCCATTTTTAGCAGAGATGGGATAAATCAGTAATTTTTCATTTCAGGATAGAGTATTTGCATGAAGATAAACTATAACAAGAATATCTTGCCTGGCACACTCCCCAAAATAATTGTAGCATAGACAGGTATTTCTTTCTCCAATACACAGCAACCAGTAAATCTTTGAAAATGACCTTTTCAAACAGCAGGTATAATTTCCTTTCCCTTTCCCATTCTTTTCTGGATGGAAATAAATTCACAGGTTGGAAAATCAACCAACAAATTCAAAACCATAAAATGCTGATGTTTTACATCGGCAACTCAAACCACAGAAAGACATGAACAGGTAATAAATTCTTGTTTCTGTGACCTGTCTGACATTCAGGACAAGAAACATGTAATACTGGAAAGTAGCAACCTTGCCTCTGTAATAAACTCAAAAGTAGCAATTACCAATCAAACCGACAAATATTTGGCTTTTCTGCTGCATTTTGCATTCCATTCTTCTTTACCTTAGCTATCACCCAGGCATAGAGTTATGTTGATATATGCTTTCCCTAGATGTCCTAGAGCAGCTGTGACAACAAACAAAAATTAATCACAATGAAGACAAGCACCCAAGAAAATATTTGGAATCAGCGGAAGTAGTGAAGTCCAGGAAGCCTTTCCCTTAGCTGCAGGCTACTCCATACTTTTTCTTTTAAAATTATTACAGCATAAAAAATGGTTCCACCGTTATTCTGACAACAGACTCTTAAATCTCTGGAAAGATAGCATCTTGGAGCAGAGTTCTACATCTGCCAGTTGTGACCTTGGATTGTTCAAGATGCATTTGAGTGAAATAAATGTTGACAATTCAATAGAGAATGTTCCTCTCCAGTTCTTTTCTGAGATATGACAACAATGCTGTGCCAACAAGAAACACATAAATTAACTCCTCCTTTAAATAATTAAAATTAATAAATTAATTCCTTACTTTAAGATAACTCAAAAGAAAGTTTGCAATCCCTTACTCCATAAGGAAGCAGCAGCATGGTGTTTAACATGGCATGTTTGGTTGCACTAACTATGCATTGGTCAATTGTTCAATTAAGCAATTATTACACTGGGCTGAAATATTTATGTTTAGTCTGCAAGCCAGTTACTGTAAACTTAGCATTAAAAGAGAGATTTCTCAGCAAAATTTTGAGTATAAATACAATTCTAGAAAGGTCTTTTGTTCTTGAATAACACACTTTTTTGCAATTATTACTTGAGACATTTTCTCTTTCAAAACTGGTAAAAATAATCTATTTGCTGTCACTGATATACCCAGTAGTGAGTAGACATTTACTGAGAAGCCACATTGGTATAATGATGAATAAAAATTCAAGTTTTCAAGAAACTGCTCCCTTTTATAAATCTTCAATGCTTTGGAGATAATCTTTCCATGAAAATGTCAGTGTTGCACTCTTCCAATATTAGCATGCTCGGTTTCTTGAACTACGTACTACAAGTTACTCAAAGCAAAAGATATAATTTATAACCCCACTAATTTTTTTTCTGGGGGAACTACCCAAAGGAGAGCTTTTGCAATTCTAACTTCAGGCATTTCTCTTTATGAAAAGCTCAACTGCCATCCTGGTGCCAATTATCAACTATGAAGCTCTTGGTCTTGGAGTAAACCAAAGTGCTTGGTATCATCACCGGTCCTGCAAACAGGACCTGTCTTTCCTGTGCATTCTTGGGTGATTTGTCAAACTGGCCAGTGATGAGTAAGATGGACTTTGACTTTGAAAAGCTCATTTTGTTGAGCAGAACAAGTGCCATCCCTAGGTAACAGGCAGCTGAACCTCACTTAAATAAATAGAACAACTAAGGTTGACATTAACAAATAGATGCATAGGTGCATACTTATCTTTCTTCTTGTTTACTACTGAGCGTGATAAAGGTGAAAGCTATAAAAATTATAAAATCCAAGAAAATCACCCTATAATTTCAACAGAAGTGAAGGAAAAAAATGCTCAAGTGCAGCAACAAAGTAGAGGTAAGAACATGAGAAGATGTTCCAAAGACCTCAGAAAATGGGAAACACTAAACTTCGGCTCCTCTTGGTTGCCACCTATCTGACTTGTACTGGAGAAAGAAATGCCAGCTTGCTTGTACTAGCAGCAATAACACCATATAAGCCAACGTATTATTGTACATTTTTATAGTAATGTAACATTACACAGCTTGAATGAGATTCTTTTGGAAGCTGAACTTTCTCATCTAAGACAATAAGTCCTTATTTGATTATAAAATATTCCTCTTCTGTTTCAAATTGCATTTCTGAAATATGCTGAAGGGTGCTAATAGCTGATGAATGCAACAATTTTCAACATAAAGAGCAGGGATCTAAAGCATAAAAGCTATGATGTACTCTGTGCTGTAGTTCTGTAATCTCTCTCTGAAGCACGGCAGACTGAGGAGCACTGAGAATTGACACTGTCTACCACATCTCTAAACTACATCATCTTAATATAATGCAAATGAATCAAATGCAGAATAAACAACTATTTTAAACAGTACACATCACTGAATAAGCAACTTATTTATAGTATTTTCTGTATTAGTAAAACCTACTGATTAAACAGTTACAAAACCTACATAGCTGGAATTCTCAAGACCACTGCATTGAGTGCTGACTCCAACAAGATTTCTAGCCACAATTCCAACAGAATTGAGGTAGGACAGGTGAAAAAAACCAACAGCTAATCTGTAATTCAGTTTAAATTTTTATTCTTTGAAGCTATATCTGCAGATTGAGATTGATTTTATGGCACTGTCTGCAGTTTCAGAGGAACAAATTTGAAAACACTGAGTTCTGGGAGGGAGTGTCTTTGAATTGCTTTTTTGTTCTTCTTTACAAAGTCATAAAAATTCTCTTAATAGAAAAGTTCTGTTCTAATATTCTATTAGAATATTCTAATAGTATTTTAAGTTATTTAAGAATATTTAATAACAACTATTCTAAATAGAGTAGTTTTAAACTCTGTTACTATACACTTTCAAAAACCCATAGAAATTAATCTAAATGAACTTAATTTTCTCTTCAAAATAAGATTTTTTTTTAATTGAGTCAATTGCCTTGACATTTACTTTGTCATCAGAGCGTGATAGTCATTTTAAGCAATGGAAACAAAAGGTGAGTAGGATATGGTACTGAGGAAATACACCCACTGACTTAAATTTTACAGTGCATTTTTATAATTGTGCACATCTGTCATTCATACCTGAAAATTCTACATACTAGCAGCACTTCCCAAAATAGGCAGAAACTCTTCAAATGCGGTTTTCTATGGCGACAGGCAATAACATTAATGCTTCTTACTCATACTAAAATCGGCATGAGAAATAGAAGATACTATGCACAGATTGCTATTTCTACAAACATTAACACTGTTTACATATGCTCTACTTTCCTCACCCCCAAGGCATTTCAAAGTTTTTAAAAATACTTTGTGGACTCCTAAAAGATTTCCAGTAAAGCCGAGAACCTTACTCTGGCTGCTTTCAAGCCTTTAGAAAATAAAATTGCTATTGTTAATTATATTTTGAAGATCTTTTAGGAGTGGTCCACACATCTGGAGAGGTTCATCAACTATAACTGAAAAACAAAGCTGTGGACGATATGAGAAGTAGTATTAAAATCAGTATTCCAAGACAGTCTACGTCTTGAGGGACTTCTTCATCTCTCCCTTCTGCATCATCATCACCATACTTACACCACCTGTTGTCTTCCCCAGAAATGTAGGCTTTAGATGCTACAACTGTGGCTTGTCAAGGAAAGAACTAGTAGGAAGTAAAAATAATTCTTGAAGTACAAAAGAGATACTGTAAAAAAAAAGCCAAGTTAAAATTCCCAACCCAACTCCTTCAAACTCTTTATATAATAGCTTCAGCAAGTAAATAAATTTGTTTATAATATAACTTGGCAGCAACCTCAACGACTTTGGGAAGATGGTACAAAAATGAAATGGCATTATTGAATGTGATTTACAAAAACTGTATTTGGCTTTTCATGCAAAATGTACGTAAATCTTTAAAGATGCTTTATTAAAAAAATATAATGGAAGCAAAATTAGGTCAGTTCTTACAAAACTTACTGATCTCTGTAGATCTACTGGGTACTGGAGGAGGCTGTGTACCATTGCGAGTAGGTGTTGATGATTGAGGGGATATGGGAGAAAAGGGAACCATATCAAAGATGTCAGTGGAGGGTGATTTAGGTGTCACACTGCCTGCCTACAATAAGGACAATAAATATTAGGGCAATATTTCACATGAAAAAGTTCACAATACTGAATTCTTCAGCATGCAGATAAAAGCCACATTTTAAAAAAAGTTAAAAATAACCATCAGCATGCAAAAGACAGCTCCTGACACCAAGCAAATGGCATTTGCAGTTCAGAGTCTGAGACATGCTAGAACTCAACAATATATAAGCAGCATTGTAATTTTCCCATTTTCAGTCCCTCTGGTGCAGCCAGAAATGTATCACAGTTAAACCTGAAAAAGCTGGTGACAAGCAGTTCTATATTGCAGACGGATGAATACAGTTATTTTCACAAGACCCATTTAAGGTAATACTGCAACAAGAATATACTATGCTCTGGAGTGCACAGAACAAGCAGCTAAATCAAAGATACAATCCCAGTATTTCCTGTTTACTAATTCTTCCTTACATGATAACTTACTTGACAACTTAAAAAACCTGGTGTGATCAAAACTTCAAATATATTTTTTGGTAAGGAACAACCTAGACATGCAATAAACTGAACATTAATATCCAAAAAAACCCTCTCATTCTTGAACATGGAACAGAAGAGAATTCATTAGTAAGGCCCAAGAATTTGGAAGGGTTCAAAAAATACTGGACAGGCAAAGAAATCCCAAACCTGATAATTACTATCATTCTATAGCCATATTTATTTTCTAATGATTAATTCCTCCCCCCATCAGTTCATTACTTGAGGACACAAAAGAGGAACAGTCAAGTCAGAATAAACTGAACACGAAAGACAGATGAAATAGATTAAAACAGAGATTGACAAGCCAAAGGCAAAACAGATATGCAAAGCTAATTTGCATGTTAATGCTGTTACTTAGACAATACAAACCCCCTACATTCTGTGTATTAGAAAGACTACAGAGCCAGGCACAGGGAAAGTCTGCTGTTTTCAAATAAGATTCAATTTCACCAAAATATTCACATGAAAAATTTAAAGCACAAATTAAATCACAGATCCTTTTACTCATAATACACAAATAAAACAACCTGGCAAGCAGGTAGTCTTTAGCACTACAGGTCCATGAGAGTTTCATGGACCTAAACCTTAGTTTGGAATGCTGCTTTCTTTAGTGCCTCTGCTGCAGCAACTGAAGCTGTCCTCGCACAGCACACAGCTCACAACACACATTTCTAAGACAAATCTATAGGTAGCTCTGAACTCCCTCTGTTTCTCGCTGGAGGCTGCAGTGGTTGCTGAGAAGGAAAGGACATTTATCCATGTTTTTCCACTGAATACACCGCTTAAAGAAAAAACTAGTATCCATTGCATACGCTACTAAAGAGAAAACTAGAATCTGAAGTTCTGTATTTCCTGTTTCTTAGGAGGTCTGAATTAATATTTTACATTTGGACTAGCAGAGATCTAGAACTCTTCAATATCTCACAAAACCTGGGATAATTCTACCTAAATTTACTGAAGTGCCGGGGTGGGGAGGTGGGTTGGTAAGGGGCGGGGGGAAGCAACATTTAATATGCTGCATCTTTTTTCTTCTATTTAAAAAAAAATGAGTCATGTTATTCCCTGGAAAGACCACATACAGAACTCTTACTGACCTCAACGTGAGTTAGGACAGTAATTTCAAAGATAGTTTGTTGTAAAAAGATTTCAGTACATACTGTTTAGACACAATAGGCTCTTATTACTATGTTGATGGACCTTGCATTAACCTCCTGGTGCCTTTGAGCATAGTCCGGGAACCAGTATAATTCAAGCCAGGAAGATTGCTGGCTGTCATCTGCTTCCACTGAAAGCAGGGCAATGGATGTGCTTGACCCAAAGTAAATATATTGTCAATCTCATATCCCTTTATTCATAGAAAGAAAACTCTCCCTGACTATAGATAGGTTTTGCCTGCATCAGGAAGGTGGGATCAGGTTTAATGCATAAGTACATGCCATATATTAACCTACATTTCCCATCAACAGTGATGGATAATCCTAGAATGTCTTGGAGATAATAAATGCTAATGTATACTCTCCTTATTTGTTAAGTGCTTACAGCTACCTAGAAGCTAGATAAAAACCCCAAGCAGTATTTATGTTTAGTCTTAAATAAGTCTTTTAGGCAAAGAAAAAAGCAAAACCAAACTTTACACTGTCATTTCCTGTCTATATGCCATTTAGTTGAAGTTACTGGCCATTTTGATAGTATTGGTACAGCTAGTTTAAGTAAAACTATAATTTAGCTATTTTAAGAAATTTATATTTTCAACACACAGGAGCACAAGAAGCAGTTTCATTTAGTGAACACATGCAGAAAGCCAGGATGTTTGCCAAATACAGCCAAATGTTACTTGCAAATGGAAGAAAAGTTGAGACTATAAGCATATTGCTGTGAAAAAGCAGGCAATATGCCCATTTTGTATTTAAGAATATTTTTCAACCTTCATTTTGCACAGAGTTTTCTAAAGTACACTAGGAGGTATTTAATGGCTGATTGCTTTTCTACTAATTCATGGGGAGGAAAAAGCCGGTAAAGTTGGACCTTTAGAATTCTTTGTTTTGAAAAGCTATTCTTAATATAAAGAATTTTAACAAAAGATTGACATATAACACAGAGATAATTGACTAATGGACTAATTTAAACATGTTGGAAAAATAAGAATTTATGTTTTGGGGATGGGAGAGAAAAAACTATGTAGAAATAAGAGTAAATCTTCACAAATTCCGTATTTTAAGAGTATCCCTTGAGAACCTAAGATACATCTGCTCTGTCCTTTAACCACTGTACAAAATGCACATTTATAATACAAGTTAACAGACAACAGAAAACAAAGGAAAGCTAAAAAAACTGAAAAAGCTTTTGCACAGCAGGATTACACGAGGTCTTGGGCAGCTGTATTCACTGGTTGGCTTTGGAAGACCACTTTTTGAAGGTGGTGGTATTAATAATCCAGATGGTAGTCTAGAGTCAGGAGAACTCCTAGGAGTAAGCGTAATGGAAGAGATATCTAAACAAGGAGGTGAATCCTCATTGTTACACCAGAAAAAAGCAGAGGGTCTTTGAAACATATGTTCATCATTATCACACTTTATGTGCAGCAGCTGAAAAGGAATCACAGAAAGAGAAAACATTCTGAGGAACAGAACGTGGTAACGTCAGGGAAAGAAGAAAAAAAACACAATTCATACTTCAAAAAAGTTTTTCAGCAACTTGCTGTTCAGTGCTATAGTTAGAAGATACAGAACATGAAAATATTTTAAAACAAAATCTAAAAATATACCACAGTAAGAGATAACTCAGTATTAGCTGGAATGAAGAACGACCTGCTCCTTGATAATTACACCAAATAAAATGAAGACAGGCATCTTTCCAAAAGTGAGCGTGCCAGATGCACTGACAAATGTCTAAATCCACCAACATATCAGCAATATCTCATATCTGCACAGGTAAATTAGCAGGTAAGCACTTATCTTGGAAGAAGAGTTACTCTGCTGGTTAAAGCACAGGTCAGAATTTCCTTTCTCCAAACCAGGAGACACCTACCATTTACATCCCACCAATATTTAAAGAACATTTAATTACTTAACTAAAACTTTCTTAGAGTAGAAGCTCACAGTACACAAAATTTAGTATTTACATTAATACTAGAATTCTTTTCATTTCCCTGTCTACAGGATTTGAGAACCTAGACATTTATGGACAATAATACCCTTCTGCCATCTTTTTTGTGTGGATGAATAACTAATTGAACTTGGTACTTTCAGTAGGTATCTCAAAAGCTGAGGCTCATTGTTGCAAAGCAAAGGAATCCTCCTGTCCCTACAACAGCAGCATAGGATGTAGGACTGAATAAAACTTTGCTGCTGGGGAAATAAAAAGGTTGAGGATTGTAAGATTCTCTGGATTTCTTAGCAAATACACAGAACAGCTTCAAACTGAGACAAATGAGTAATACTCGCATCAGAATGCAGATGCTAAAAGCATTCATCTAAGATGAGAGAGTGTTAATTGCAAGGTTCTGGTCTGAATTAGGCAGAAAAGAACCTGAAGCTAACTGTGCCTTGTATGACTGGGAATTATTTAACTATATATTCCAGAAAGATTCATTGTGTATTGAAAGCAAAGCTAGAGGGCTTTGTCCACTTTGATGAAAAACAAAACACCTTAATTTTTTGCCCCAATGGGAAATATCTGCAATCCTGAAAGGTTTAAAGAGAAATGGATCTTATGTTGGTGAAATTAGAAACAAAGGGCCTTTAGGATTGGTCCTGGAAAGAAAAGCAAAATCGGAAATGTCTTCAAGTATTTGATTTAAGAAACATGCCCAACCCATCCTTCTGTTGGGGCCAAGTTTGATTTCTTCCTCAAAATCTGAGGAAAACAGCTTTGAACAATTAAAACAATGCTTTAGAGAAGGACAGATTCATCTTTGAATCTTAACAGAAGGGATTAAACACTTTCACAGACAGTTCTTGGCTACAGCAAGAGTTTATACACTGACAAGGCAGGAATTTGATCTGTGCTGCAGGTATCTTTCGTAAAAAACCCTGCAACTTCCCCAGGCTGAAGCAGTGGTAGATACGTGCAATTTTGAAGTCTGCTTTTTCACTCTTCACACAGTGTTACACAACTGATACAACATGATTATATACCTCCAGTAAAACAGGTTTTACCAATGATTTTAAACCATTTTTTTTCATAGTTATGTAGAAAATAAAACATTTCAAATCCTGTTAAACGGAATCTTTCTTCACTTTCTTTAAAGGTAAGCCAGATTAAGGGTAAAGATATCCAAATTTAGTAATAGTGCCATACTTATGAGAACACAACACACACACCAAAACTCTCTAATCAAAATTTACAATTCATAAGAAAAAAGAGTTTTTTACTGCAATTGCAAAGGACTCCTCTGTTGCCAAGCTGGTATTGTGAAATTGGCGGGTTGGAATGGTAATCAATAAAAATGAAAGCAAAAAACCACAAGAAATAAGACTTAAATAATTTGGATTATTATTTCAAGAGCATCATGAGACTATAGGTAGATTTGCAATGCATTGTTCTCCCACTACTCTGTAATACTTGCTTCTATACATATATATGGAAAAAATAGATCTCATATTTGTAAACTGTGGAAGATATAAATGTAAACAAGCAAACTAAGTAAATAAAATATTTCCCTGAAATTTAAATCAGGAGAGGATGAGTAGTTTCCATAAAAAAGCATGTATATCACATGAAAAACCATGCAGAAACCAGTAAAATGCAAATAGGATACAAAGCAGCAAAACTATAAGGATGATGAACATATATTAAATCCAGACAATGAAAGGTTTCAATACAAAACCACAACATACACATTCAAGCCCCGAACACCTGGCAGCCACATTTCTTCCTACTTATCTAACAAACAATTATCTTCGGACAATCCACACCATATAGTGCGAAGCAAGATACGTTGAGCTTCATATGACGGTTTTGGCAATGTGTCATGCCAATAATGAATTTTCACTAGTAATTCTCACTTGCATGGCTGTACAGAAGCCCACCAGTGGGTGCTTGGACCTGTGTTGTGAGTGCTGTTCTGTGTGTTGCAGCCCATGGCTCAGAGACCTGCGAGGCTGACAGTGGCTTTCTGCTTACAGCCCTACGTATTCAAGCAGCCCACGGACAGGACAGGCACAGCAGGGAAGTATATTCAACAATCAAAAGTAATTATTGGAAGATCACAAGGAGAAGGATTGCACAGAAGGCTTTTAATAACGTAGGAAATATCACCAGATTCAGAAAATGCAGGAAGGGAAGGGAACAGACTTACTCTAAAGAGTACAACCTAAAAAGTGGGTAACTTCTGAAACTGAATACTCTTACACCAAATTGTAAAGGAGGAAAATAGAGTAAAAATGTATTACATTGCCATTTTATATGGCAATTCTATTTTGTCTGAGCTTTCCACTGTGTAACACTGAACAGGTAGTATTGGTCAGGTTGACATTTCCATTTTGGGCCCCATTTCATAAACATAAGAAAACAACTTGTTATCTTTCTTAATGAAATCAACATCCTAATTTAGTGGACTCGGTCTCTATTCTGATTAGATGTTATTATGTGCCTGTCAAAGGGTTTATTTTTGACTCATTCTGCTTAGCCTGATTCTGAAGATGTTCTGGCTGCATCATACTAGAAAATGTAGCATGATTGAGTTTTTGTTAATCAAGAAATAATTTCAAAATTGCTTGTTTTAACTAGGTATCTCAAGACATTGATTGCAATCTCTGTGTCATACCCCCATAGGGATCACATAAGTGTATTAATGAATTAGAAAATGTTTTTCTTCCTTAGAACATTCAGGTTTGTAATATACAGAATAATTACAGTGGATAACTGCAGTTAATGTTATAGGGAACTGTGAATGACCCCGAATTGGAAATTATGTGGTTAGTTACAAACCCACTGATTTCAAGCTACCTGAGGTTTGGGACTACTAAGGATATATTAATTTACTAACTCATAAAATAATGTATAAGCATTGGCAGCTTCATTAATTAACTGCTTCATCTTTGCTTAATTTAGTACTTTTTCAGTAACATGAAATCTGATATTGGCAATTTCAAATTATTTTTTTTTAACATCACAAACATAATAGAAATTTTAACCCTCAAGAAGTGCTCACTGAATGGGATACAGAATATTATAAAACTGAAAGAGCAGAAGATAGGCAAAGAAAAAACATGTGCATTTTCCCACATGGCAGTCTTAATGGAAACACGAATCAAGTGATACACCTAAACACATTCCAAAACTCTTTTCTGAAATATGCATACAGTTCCAATATCTTGGGGTTTTCTCATGAATGTGTTAAAACTTTATAATGAGGGTAATAGGTGCAGGTGGCTTATGCTCCTGAGTCACAGTTAAAGAACTTTAAAAGAAGGTCTAATCAATCAGTATCTTTAATGATGCATTTTAAAATGGAGGGGTTTTGCAACACTGCCATGATAAGAATACATATTACATACTACTTCATTCACAGTACTTAGGGAGAACAGAAAAATACAACCCCTTTTGGGGGCTGTTTCTTCTGATACCTTTTCCTGCTGCCTTTCAGTTCTGCTTCTCTCATATTTCATTGTTCTCTGTTTTAAGTTATTTTCCTGAATATTGCTATTTTCTTCTATTTAATTTTAGAGTCATGCAGTTGTCACATGCCTTAAGCATGCTTTTCAAAGAGAAAACCTTAAAGGCATGGCCAAGAAACTTCAGCCAAGCCCAAAATATATTAAAAATCTCTCTTATCTCACCAGAGGTTCCTCAGTGGCCCACAATGGTTTACTGTTTGGTCCACTAAAAACCAGGGTGCTAACTGTAACTGCTAACCCACATGAAGGCTGTTTGTACAGAAAACCCAGGCTGAAAAACACCGACAGTATAAATAGCAAAAAATAGACGTCATGTGAAACAGCGCTCCCAGGGATGCAATGATCCTTGGAGGTTGGATTTACACATAGGAGCAGCATCCAAAGTCTTACTGTGATACAAACTTGAGCGGTGTCATCATAAACAAACAACAAAATGAAGATCAGATTGTCCTCATATAATCAAAACCAAACGCAAAAAAGACCAGTGATTAATGTATTGCCAAACCACCAGAACAGATGAAAAGCAAACAACACAGATATAAAGTAATGGAAACTAGCTCTACATGCAAGGGAGTGAGAGACAAAAGAAACTTCCCGTGCCAACATTTCCCATGGCACACGTAAGTGCAGCTATAGCGGCAAAGTACTTTAGGGAAACTCCTACTTTGGTATAGTATATCCTTGACACATCCATTCAGGAAATGAAAAAAAAGCTTCAGTCTCTATTGCATAACACTTCTGCACTAGCAAATATAGATATTTTAGGGACTATCTTTTTAAAGATTTAGCAAGACTAGCATACTTAAAAACATCAAGCTAAACCAGCAAAAAAGATTACTAAGCAGTTTACTATTTACTAAATGTCCTGAACAAACTTAAATCTAAATTGTTGCAATACCCTGTGAGAAAAAGTATGCAGAAGATCAATAATCCGATGTTCAACTTTCACAGTATATTTTATGCAA